GTCGACCCCAGGGCCATAGTGCAGCTGGAAGGATTAGGTCAATTAAAAAAAATCCAATTACCTCATCGGGACATGAACCCACGACCTTCCGGCTTGTAGCATAGTGCCTCAATCAACTACGCTACCACATGCCCCCATGACATTTATATTTGATGGTTAATGAACTTAGTTTGGAAAAACTTCATGGGATCCCTAGTAATGCTCAAGTTAAAAAATTTGCTATGTATGTGGTTTTTTGATATTTTTTTTGTGAGGAATTAAGTGACAATGAACTGAAGCAGTTACATTCATATTAATGAGTCCATAGTGAAGGATAGATTTTGTTACTGAACATAGATACAGTGGAACTTCACTTAACGAGTACCTCTCATAATGAGTAATTCGCATAATGAGCAAAACAAGTTGTAAAAAAAAATGACTCGCTTAACAAGCGACATTTCGCATAATGAGTGACGAGAGGGGAAGTCCTGGATTTTGCGCTTGCTACATCAGTCTGTGTTTAGCACTCGTTCTGCCAGCATCTTAGTGTCGCTTGTGATCACACATTTTTCCAAACTTGTGTTCAGACATATTATTTGTGATTTTTTCTTGTGCAAAGTTTAATAACCCTTACAAAAATGTCCCCAAAGAAAAAGCCACAAAAAGACAGCCATAAGAGAATAAAAACAACCATAGAAATGAAACGTAAAATCACTGAAAAGCGAGAACGAGGCGTGAGCGTGGCTGATCTAGCACGCACATACGTACAGTCGGTCTACATCAACGGTTTGCACGATTTGGAGTTGCATTGTGTTTCACAGCAAGAAGTTGTGGAGGAGAGTTTGTCGGAGGAGGAGGAGGAGGAGGTAACAGCAAAGCAACAATCTTCTGGCGCAAGAAGAGAAATGCTGAAAGCATGGGAAACTGTTATATTGTACATTGAGAAGCATCACCCTAATAAGGCAGTGGCTATGCATGCTGCAAATTTATTTAATGATAATGCTGTGTTGTATTTTCACCAAATTTTGAAGCGTTGGCAAAAACAAATGTCTCTAGACAGCTTTCTAGTAAAAAAGAATTAGATATGTATAATAAATAATGAACTAATTATTTCGATTTTTTTTTTGTTTTCTGCAAATCGAATTCGCATTCCAGGTTGGTTCATTCCGCATAGAAGAAAACATGAAGATCATTCACAGTCCTTAACAATGTATATATAATTTTCTTTGAATAAACGTTATACATACAATTTTTTGAGTATTTTTTTCGGCATTTAATGCATTATCATATTTTACATTAATTTATATGGGAAAAATTGTTTTGCTTAACGAGTGTTTCACATTACGAGTAAGATTCTGGAAAGAATTATGCTCATTGAGCGAGGTTCCACTGTATATGAACACGATTAAAGGGAACACTACGAACATAGAAGGTGTGTCAGTGAATTGGGTGATTTTAAAACGTTATGAACAGTAAACTATTGCATTTATTTGGTTCTAACGCATGAATACAGTGTAAATATAAAAGCATTTGTTTTTTCTCAATTAACTCACTGAAAACAAGTCTATTTCCCAGAAATAACATCTGACAGATGACCACCATTCCGCTGTAGGCACCCAGTAAGGCTCTTTCTAAAGTCACTCATTACTCTTTGCAGCATCTCTACGTGAATTCGCTCAACTTCTTTCTGAATTCGATGTTAAACTCCTGAACTGTGTGGGGTGCTGGAGCTTTGAAAACTTGGGATTTCAGATATCCCCAGACAAAATATCACATGTGGAAAGATCAGGTGATCTGGCTGGCCATATGATGTCCCCATAAGTGGAGATAACATGGTTAGGAAACAGGTTATTTGCAACTGCCATGGAAGCTCCTGTGGTGTGGCACGTAGCCCCATCTTGCTGGAAAAATGTTTCTTCCTTGACTGGAAGACAAGCAAGTGCAGGACTTAAGAAGCTCTCCAACATGTGAATGTAACGTGGTCCAGTCACAGTTACAGCCCTTTCCCACTCATCTTCAAAGAAGTACAGGCCAATAATTCCAAACGAAGATATCGCACACCATTCTGTGACTTTGGAACTGTGAAGTGGTCTCTCATAAATTTCTTTGGGGTTTATGGCAGAAATTTTTCTTGTTAACAAACCCAGATAAAGGGAAACAAGCTTCATCGCTTATCGGTAAGCTGTTAATGACATCTTGGTTTTGATTAATTAATTGCAAAAAAGTCTGGCAGAAATTGACTCCGTTTTCATACTCGTANCTTTGCAGCATCTCTACGTGAATTCGCTCAACTTCTTTCTGAATTCGATGTTAAACTCCTGAACTGTGTGGGGTGCTGGAGCTTTGAAAACTTGGGATTTCAGATATCCCCAGACAAAATATCACATGTGGAAAGATCAGGTGATCTGGCTGGCCATATGATGTCCCCATAAGTGGAGATAACATGGTTAGGAAACAGGTTATTTGCAACTGCCATGGAAGCTCCTGCGGTGTGGAACGTAGCCCCATCTTGCTGGAAAAATGTTTCTTCCTTGACTGGAAGACAAGCAAGTGCAGGACTTAAGAAGCTCTCCAACATGTGAATGTAACGTGGTCCAGTCACAGTTACAGCCCTTTCCCACTCATCTTCAAAGAAGTACAGGCCAATAATTCCAAACGAAGATATCGCACACCATTCTGTGACTTTGGAACTGTGAAGTGGTCTCTCATAAATTTCTTTGGGGTTTATAGCAGAAATTTTTCTTGTTAACAAACCCGGATAAAGGGAAACAAGCTTCATCGCTTATCGGTAAGCTGTTAATGACATCTTGGTTTTGATTAATTAATTGCAAAAAAGTCTGGCAGAAATTGACTCCGTTTTCATACTCGTATTTGTGTAGTGCATGAGTAATTTGAATTTTATAGGGGTAGAAGTGGAGATCTTTGTGCAAAATCTGTCAAACGCTCGCTTCAGACAGCCCGAGTGATGTAGCATGGTGATGTGCAGACTGACGTGGATTTCATTCAATGGCTTCTCTCACTGCCGCTACATTCTTGGGTGTATGTGCTGTTTTTACGCTACCACCTTCGTTAGTGTAGAACCAGTAGCCTCAAATTTTTGAAACCAGGTCTTGATGGCATGGGCAGATGGAACAGCATGATTCCAATGAATACCAAACCCAAACTTTCTTCAAAATTCACGCTGAGTGATCATGAATCTGTCACCGTTTTTGTAAAATGCTTTCACAGCAAAAGCATGTTGTGCTTGAGTCCGCAGCTCCATTGCAACTAAAACGCTCTGAAGTAGGCTGCTGGGTGGCAGTTGTGGCATCCTCCCCACTACAACCATCCCAGGAAAAAACACTGCTGCCAAATCGCCCAATTCATTGACACACTCTGTATAAGGAATTTCTATTCAATCGTGTTAATGCATATGTCAGAAATTTGAAATTTTGGACATGACCAACATGGTAAGGTAAAATGGTAAAGTTTTCCCTTTTCTTAACTACACCATGAAGACATATGGGGGAGCAGATGTATAGAACCACTTTTTCTTGACTTTGGCACTAGTTTGAGATGAGTGGTCGGCTTCACGCCCTGGCCGCTTTACCCCTGTGGTAAGAGCCCCTGGTGCCCATTGGATAGGCTGGATGGGCCCCAGGGCCTGTCTGGAAGACATCAAGAAGTGAAAATTCTTGCCCCCACTAGGACTTGAATTCCAACCCTTTGGTTGTCCGGCCCATAGCCAGTCACTATACTGGCTATGTTATCCTGGCTCTCTGAACAACATGGTACTTTTTTTTTTTTTTTAATATTTATGCCCTCTGAGAATCCCTGGGCTGCTGGCAGTTTCCAGCTGAGCGACAGATATTTACCTGACTGGTGAGCCAGTATGTAAATTTTCAACCCTTGCTTATATCATAGGAACCTGTGATTATACCAAGTTTCATTCAACTAAAAATTCAGCTGCCACAGGCTGTTAGCAAAATTTGTTGAGTTGGCATAGAATGCCTGAAAATTGACTACAAAAATGATGTCAAGGCAAGTGATAATAATTCATAATGCAAAGAAAGTAATGAAGAAAAAGACTGTATTTTTTTATTGCTAGTAAGCTGGGACTAAGTCCCTTGTACTGTGGTCACTTCTGGCCTATTGTACCAGCTCCAGATGATAGGTGAGGGTGATTGTAGAGCAATTGGTGGAATGAAGATTGGCAGGGGAAACCGAAGTACTCAGAGAAAACCTGCCCCAGTGCCACTTTGTCCACCACAAATCCCACTTGACCAGACCCAGGATCGAACCCTGGCCGTGCCCTGCCGTGGGAAGCCAGCGACTAATCGCTTGAGCTATGGCACGGCCAAAAAAGACAGTATACTTTTAATTAAATTATAATCATTGGAAGAATATTTTTGTCTTAAGTTGTTGTTGTCCCTTTTGCCGTTTTTGACTGTATTTTACACTATTCACAAGTCTCCCTTATGGGGATATATGGATCTATGAATGTATGAATGGAGATTGCGTGCTTGCTTTTACTCTTACTTTTACTTACATATTTTACAACCTTTAACAATGTACTCATTGACATTGTATTTGACAAAAAGCTCAAATTATGATGCACACATATAATTAACTTGTATCTACATAATTTATAATCTTATTACTTATTAGCGATGTACTCATCGACATTATTCCTGTTAACAGGCTCAAATTATGATGTATAAGTACATTTAACTTATATTTATGTAATTTGTAATCTTATTAATTTTTCAATTAGACTGTTATTGTGCAGATGTCATTGTATTTATATTGTATTTGACTTGTTTGATATCCTATGGTGTCTACCTGTATCTGGATTTACGGAACGTAGATAAATTGAACAATTGAACATTCACATCCCCCAGCAGCTCATATTCCTCTTAACTATGAGTCTCAGCATTCAGAAATCTATTATATAAAAAAGAGCATGATATTATTGATGTGTGGTTGAGCTTCATCCATATTTATGCGTGTCCATTACCCATCTCATGAACTTTCCTTTTCAGGACCTTATGTGCCAGGATGTGCTGATCTGATGACAGAATATTCATCTGCTGGCTGTTTTATAAGACTCTACTACCCAACTTCCTTGTCCCACATCAAGGTAGACTGAGCATGTAATACTAGCAATTTTAACTTACATGTGTATAGTCATGTAATACTAACAGACTCTAAAGTATTGTAAGCTGCTAAACTTTGTATAGGAAATCTTCAGCAGCACATCATACTTCAAGCAGGCAACCCTGCAGGAAGGAAACTTCAGACAGCATCTTGATAAGTCTTCACCCTACACTTTTATTCTTCTATCACAATGTCATTTTCCTCTTTTTCTTTCATTAAAAGCTATCTGATGTCTTTTGCAAAATCTCTCCAACCGTACATTAGATGATTTGAATTCAGTCTTTGCCAGTTTTTCAGCGACATTTTTAGTATATTCCTTCACCATAAGACCCAACAAGCTGTGATTTTTTGCCATGACACTGACAAACTACTCCCACATTATTTCATTAATGTCTTCATTTGCAGTTTTCTTAAGTTCTTTTATTTTTTTTATTTTTCCATGTGCACAAATTTTTCCCACCATTTTAAAAATTTCCTTTTTATTCCTTAGAATCTCATATACTTGAGTTTGTCTGATGTTAAACATCTTCATGATCTGCTTAACAGACAATTTATCTCGCTCACTCTCATGAATCACTTTTACTCTTGTGTTAAGAACATGCACAACTTTTGTCTTTGTAGCCATGATGACAACTGCTAGACTAAAGTAAAAATGTAGGCCTATAGCCCTTAGTGAGTAAAATTTATAGAAGGGGCAAACAGTTCAGTTGAATTTCAGGGCTGGTAGTGCAGTACCATTAAAAGCTGAATTGAAAGAGTTAGAGAAAACAAAATCTGTAGAATGCATAGGATGCCCAAAATTCTTGTAATTTTCCAATAGATCTGGTTTCTTTTAGCAATAACATTTTTTACTTAAAATTGAAGGTTAAGTTTGTCCCATATATGGAGATCATTTCAATAATTGTAACGTAGGTTATGGCAAAAGAATAACAGGGAACTCCCCTTATAGCTGGCAAAATGAGTAACCAACTTCTATTAAGGCTGCCATGCTGGTTTCATACTGGAGTCTCCAGACTGACATATTTAGTGTCTCCAGATTCTCATGTCTCATAGGTTTTATTGACTGATCATATATATTTCTTTTAATAAGAAGTAATTGATAATGAATGTTTCATATACATGTCTGTATACATACTTATTTAATAATTTAATTGCAAATGATCAGTATAGTGTTGCAGTAAATTACAGAGCTCTTTATCCATAACATTTCTCAAATACATAAAATTTGCAGGAGAGGTGAAACACTTGCCTCTTCCTCCTGACAACAGGAAGACTTATCAATCTAAGCAACTTATTGTTGAGTATGCAGCATGATTGGCCTGAAGTGAAGGTCTAAACTATGCTGTAATTCAGGTAGTGATGTCTGTTAATGATGTTCTGTCTGGGGTTGAGCAAGTGATGTGCCTTGCCCAAGGAGACTGCTGAGGAGTTCTGGCAGGAAACTGTTAGGGTCATGAAAGGTTCCTGTAAGCACAAGGTCAACATGATTTGTGCAGAAGGACTGTCTCTTCAAGCCCTGGAGGTCAGTGAGGAGCTTACTGTTCATCCTCATGAAAATATGACCATGGTACTCAGTACTGTTCATTGTAATTGGAAGATCACTGTCCTTCTGGAGGACCAAGCCTAGAGAAAGTTGAAGAGGGTCCCTACTGAGTCTGAGGAACACAAGGCTGTTCTTCTCCTGAAGGGATGCTCATTTTGTGAGGTGGTCTGCTAACAACTTTGAATTAAAGCCCACTATGAGCACCACTGGGGTCCCTACTTGTGTGTAAGCAAGCCATAGGAACATCTCATCTGCTTCCTGAAGGTTCATAGGAAGACTCCCATGAGGATTCTCTAGATGGGTTCTCCACTGTGTCATGTAGGTTCATGCACCCTGCCCTTATCAGGGCACCCAACAACTGTATGCCTTTCCTTCTTTTGAACATGCACTGCATTGCTCCTTCATCATGACAACGTGCCCACCCACATGTCCCTAAAAACCACAGAGTTTGTGACTAATAACAACATGGTTATCATTCTCCATCCTCCCTACTTGCTGGACATAGCCCCCTGTGATTTCACTCTGTTTGCCAAATTGAAAATGAAGCTGAAGGGACAACATTTTGAAACATTGTCTGACATCCAGTGGGAATCGCAAGTGATACTTGGCAGCATTAAAGAAAATAACTTCCAACGTGCTTTTGAAGCGTGGAAAAGGCGATGGAATCACTGTATACGTTTCCTAGGAGACTGTTTTGAAGGAGATGGAAGCCAAAATTGAGTAAGTTAAGGCAGAATTTCTTTTTTGACCTAGTCTGGAAACTTCACAATAGCTTCTTGTATAACCTGAGGTTTTCTGCAGACAACTTGGTTTGCTTGTTGCCTGCTTCATGTTCATCTCTTGGTTGGCATACTCGAGAATCTTGAGATTGTAACCGCACCACTGCCATGCACCCATTTAAATTTAATTAAGTTTATTAATTAGAAATTTAATTGTTTCACAGTGAGATGTACTGAACAAGTCAGTAAGACATAGGCCTATTCTTGTATGTAAGAATTAGCTTATTCTCACACAAGAGAGAACCCCTGTGGATATTTCTGAGAATTTTAGCTCGAAAGTGTAACTGCAACAGCCGTTGGGAATTCGAAACTTGACAGCTTCTGCGGATCATAATTCTTAAGGAGGACAGCCAGAGACTGAAGCCAGGCGTAGCATCCATCAAAGACCTGTTGAAAGTTACATTATGTCTTTAAGGCCTAAAATCCAAAGTCACAGTGAGCTGATTGGAAATCAGGGAAATAAGGTGAACTCCCTAATTTCCAAAACGTCCAGTCACTAGAATTTAGGGGTGTGACAGAGCCAAGAAGCTGATGGATCAAGGACCTCATGGTTTGGAAAGAAGTCAGTTGTCGAAGTCAGTCACACACCGGCTCTCTTTGAATACAGAAGCAAAACTTGTGTCAGTCAGTTGAAAATTTATTGTCAGTACTAATGAGCATTAGTAGCCAAGTTGTAAGTTATAAATAGTAAGGCTACAAGCAAAAAGTGTTGTGCTTCAAAGAAATATAAATACAAAATTAAGCAACTTGCAAGAAATATTAGCTTGAGTAACAAAGGGCATAGATGTTTAATAATAAACCAGTGAAACTTTATATGTGCGTGTGTAGCTTTGAGTTTATTTCCTGCCTTCTCGGAGTTGAGGCCCATTAAAGACCTTGAGAAAAAGAGACCCTCAGCTCTACCGAATACAACAAACCTTACCTCCTTTATAATAAAACCAACCTGAGGTAATTATTAGTAAGCGTGAAAGAGGCAGCTACAATAAAGGCACACAAAAGGTGTAAGGAGTGTGGGAAGAGAACTATTACAAAGTGTTGCTGAACATAGGGGCCAGTGATAAAAGTGCAGCTGTAAGATGCAGCCAATGTGTTACTCCAAAATATCAGTTGACTTTCACTGGTTTACATAGAATTAAATCCCAGAAGATGGAACCCTTTGTTAACCACCTATGTGAGAACCTCAGAGCCTACAAAGAAATAGTTTTTCAAAAGGATGGTTGGTTTCTGTACTGAAGTATGGTTTAGTAAGTGATAATTTTATTCCAATTTTAGCACATTTCGACATCACAGCTTTTCTTTCTTTATGCCTCCTCCTCCTCTTCTTTCTTCTAAGCCTCATAACTCAATGGGGTGTTTTAATTTCTTTTCTGCAGAAATATTCAGCAAGGTGGATTCCTTGGCTTGCAGATGATATGTACTTGGAGGGATTTTCACGTGTACTGCAAATATGGAAGTTTGTGCTCAAGTTTGTTATCTGGTTACTGGCAGGTAAGTTGATCTTTATTTAAAAAATACTCTTATACATTAACAAAATGAATTAGTATGGTATAGCAACAGTGACTTTTGTCTAAAGTAGTCTTCAGGATTCCCATGATATTTAAATACTTTCATTGTGTTCCTAATGGAAAAGAAATGTGTATGTTTCTAATTCATTGAGTGGTAGCACAATAGACAGATATAAAACATTTTAAATATATGTTTATAATTTATACTCTCTTTAGTAAAAACTGTTTGTATTTTTTCAGTTAAAATATTAGGCGGGGAATTAAATTCAGATTTGTTTATGGTATTTATGCATTTCTAAGCAGCCTCCAGCCAATCATCAACTGAGCAGATTTGATAATGGCCAAGTCTGAGTGTAAAGACATCTTCCATAAAATTCTTCTGGATCCCAGTCCAACTTGATGATGATGATGATGATGATGAAGAAGATGACTGTGTCATCTAGATTTTGCCTTCCCTCCAAACATATGAGGTCTGTCATATTTAGAATATATTGCACATAGATCTTTGTGATTCAGATAATATGACCTCAGAGATTCGAAGGCAGTTACTCCCTTCCCTTGATCCAAGGGATCTGCTGGATGATGGGTTAGAGGCAGTAGCCAAAGCTGCATAGAGACATCACACAACTGGTGAAGCCACACTCTCCCTCCAGTTGTACTGGAGACTGCAGTGAGTGGCTAGCACTCATGCTTCCTATTCATGAGGTCAGGGTTCAGATCTCATCCCAAGGACAGGCCATCTTGACTAAAGTTTTTTGTGGTTTTCCTCAGTCCTTCCAGATGACTGCCAGGATAGTACCACAAATTAGGTCACAACCTCTTACTTCCATGTTCTTTCCAATTCATTATTCACTAACATTCTACCATTCAGAGTTGTGTAGTCTAAGCACCAGTAAATAAAACAAAATGTGTTATGGTTCAGAGGCCAAACCAGATAAACTTAAGAAAAATTTCTTGAAATGAAGAAAATAGTAAAAGATAGCATAGACCAGTATTCTAAAATGTTACTTGCAATCAGTCACTATGCTACAGGCCAGAAGGTTGTAGGTTCAAGTCCCGATGTGGTCACTGGATTTGTTTCAATTGACCTAATCCATCCAGCCGCACTGTCGCCCTGGGGTTGACTCAGCCTCTAACAGAAATGAGTACCAGGAATTAATTAATTTTCCTGGGGAGTAAAGTGCGGCCATCGCATAAGGCTGACAACCTTATTGCCATCTTTGAGCAGATTGTCTAGATAATGTGGGACCCTCAATGTCTCGCAATCCTATGGGCCTACATGGCCTGTTACAGGGATAGCTTTACTTTTACTTGCAATCAGTCATCAGGTCTGAATACTCATATAGTGATTTACATCACAACAATGTCAAGCAGGTATCATTTTTAAGTTATTAGATTTGTATCCTAAGTCTCCCAGGTAGGATGTAAATGTTTAAAAGACATGAGAGCTCAGATTGTAGAGAATAGTATACAGACAGATTAGAAATATGAGATTTGTGGTTCTCATAGCAGAGACTGAAGATTTCTGTCTTCTGAAATGTGATCTCACATTGTTAATTAGATAGGTACCAGTGTTCTACCCTGAAGACAGAGGTAGCATGTCCTTGCAATATGTTGGTACCTATCTAGAAACTACATGGTGCCATGTCCCAGAAGACACTTTCCTTCAGAATAGACAGGCACATAGCATATGTCATTGTAGATACATATGAGGTTTTCACTGCAGTGAAAATTAGGTTACAATCTTGTGTATCATGACACCATAATGTAGTCTTGTTTGTAGATGGTTACTAGTGTTTTGGAAGAACCTATTACCTCCATTTTCGCCTTAAAGTGGAGGCAGAAAGTTCCCTTGAAACAGTGATAACCTATTAGACTACTTAGTATTATGACCCAGAAGACCACAATCTACATTACAAAACCAATTTTCTTGGGACTCAGAATGTGTAAAACAAGTTTATACATAGTTGATTGATTTTTAGCCTACTTTCCTTTCTTAAGTGATGAAAGTAGGCTTATGGGGTCATCAGTCTATGTGTCTCTCCCAAATTCAACTTATGAACCAGCTGACCAAGTTTCACGAAAATTGGTATGAATGTTATATCATTGGATGATACCGCACTGTCATAGTTTTTTTTAGTGAAGGATGAGAATGATGATCTGCTTGCAGATTCCCACAACATTTTGAATAGGTGGAGGAACTACTTCTCTCAGTTATTGAATGTACATAGGGTCAGTGATGTTAGGCAGACAGAAATCGATATAGCTGAACCAATAATACCTGATCCTAGCCCTTTTGAGTTTGAAAGTGCTATTGCAAAATTGAAACGGTATAAATCCCCAGGTAGTGATCAAATTCCGGCAGAACTTATTCAAGCAGGAGGCGAAGTATTACGTTCTAAGATCCACAAGCTTATTACTTCTATTCAGCATAAGGAAAAATTTACTGATCAGTGGAAGGAGTCTGTTATTGTACCTGTTCACAAGAAGGGTGATGAAACTGACTGTAGTAATTATCGGGGGATATCACTGCTATCAACTTCATATAAAATTTTGTCCAATATTCTTCTTTCAAGTTTAAGTCCATGTATAGATGAAATTATTGGGGATCATCAATGTGGGTTTCGACATAACAGATCAACTACAGATCAGATCTCTTGAATTCATCAGATATTGGAGAAAAAATGGGACTACGATGAGACGGTACATCAGCTATTCATAGACTTCAGTTAGGAGGGAAGTATTGTACGATATTCTGATAGAGTTTGGGATACCCATGAACCTAGTTAGGTTGATTAAAATGTGTTTAAACGAAACATATAGTAAAGTCTGTGTAGGTAAACATTTATCTGATAAATTTCCTATCCAGAATGGTCTAAAACAAGGAGATGCTTTATCGCCACTCCTTTTCAACTTTGCCTTAGAATATGCAATTAGGAAGGTCCAGGGAAACCAGGTGGGATTGAAACTAAACGGGACACATCAGCTGTTTGTCTACGCCGATGATGTGAATCTGCTGGGTGATAATGTAGATACCATAAAGAAAAACACACAAACTTTAATTGACGCAAGTAAAGAGGTTGGTCTAGAAGTAAACACAGAGAAAACTAAGTATATGTTACTGTCTTGTCACCAAAATGCAGGGCAAAATCATGACATAACGATAGGAAACAGATGTTTTGAAAATGTGG